CAGCAAAAGACCTGGGTGGCAGAACAGATGGCCAACAGCCACGTGTCCTACAGCAGCGCAGTGATTGGCCGCGACCAGGTGAACAAACAGGTGATAAGATGGCTGTGGAAGTCAGTTCCTGAGATTGCTGAGGAGCGTTTGGCAGTGCCAAGCGAGCAGCAGTTGAAGGACATTTGGCAAGCCCAGTTCGGACAGGTGTGTCCTGGAAAGGGCAGCGTGTGTCTGGGAACAGGCTTCAGCCTGCCAGAGCTGACCGTGTTGCTGGAGGGATCCGACTTGTTCCTGCATGGTTTCCCCTTTGAAAAACCTGTGTCGCTGGAAGACATGAAAGGGTTGACAGCCAAGGAATACCTTGACAAGTGCACGTGGCATGTGCACCTGAAGGTTGGCCACGGCCTGCTGCTGCCTCCAAACCACGTGTTCATGGTGCTGAACCCGGGGTCCATTGCTTCGCACACAAGCAAGATGTATGTCATCAACAACACCACTGCAAATTGGGCCATGAAAGCCCTTGAGACTTTGATCGAAGCAGCCCCTGACTTGAAGAACAAGCGAAGTGGCCTTCTGCAAGCTCACTTCAAGGCTCTGTCCATGTAGCAGACAGAAGACCTGGGGAAGCGCGCAAACCTTGCAGGCAGCACAGACTGCCGAAGGTGGCTGGAATCCGAGGTATTTCAGTTTGCGTGCTAGCTGGAACTGGAGCCACCTGAAGCATGGCCTCCAGTGAGCCAGCCTGATAATTTTCCAAAGCCAGAATGACGCATCACTCATTTCGCATTCATATTCGTGTCACACTTGAGTGCCTCAACCATTCAGGAACGCCCCTGGAGTTCGCAAAGTGGAACACGAAGCCAAAACAACAAGAACATGTTGACATTGGAGGGTCAGGCATAAGTTGGATGTCAGAATCATGCATTGGTTTTGTGGTTATTCCTAAAAGTTGCAAACAAAACTCAGGAAACTGCTCTGCACATTGACATGCTTGGAAAAAAAGAGTTAAGTAAGCAGCTTGCAAACCATGCAGTCCAAAGGCTCAGACTCAAACCCGAGACAAACCTGTGGGCTTCGAAAGCAATGGGCCTTGCGCAGACTAAACGCGCAAAACTGGGAGCTCTTGGACGCCGAGGACATGGATGACAGCAGTGGGGAGACTGCTGAGAATCCAGATGTAAGAGGCCCAGATGGCACAAGCTCAATGTCGACCATAGGACCACATCCCGGGGGTGCGGCAACCTCACAGAGTGAGCCCAAGAAGGTGAAAACAAACAGATGGGGGCCATACGAAACGAAGCAGAGCGAGAGAATGGCCCTCATTAAACGCCGAATCAAAGAGAAAACAAGGCTCTGGCTGGAGAAAAGGGCAATGGACCGTTTGAATCAGGAAGATTGGGAGAAACGTTGCAGGGTGTTGAAGAAGCAGTTGAGTGATGACAAGAAAA